CATCATTATTTTATAATCTACATTGCAGCAATATCAACCTACATTATACGCTCATCAATATTTTATAATCTACATTGCAGCTACCTCAATCTACATTATTCTCTCATCAATATTTTATAATCTGCATTACAGCAATATGAACCTACATTGTATTCCCATCGACACTTAACAATCTACATTATATCAATAACAGATTATAGTATATCTACATTATAGTTCAATCAATATTATAAAATCTACATTCTATCAATATTGATCTACATTATACACTGATCAACATGTTATAATCCACATTGCAGCAACATGAATCTACATTGTATTAATACCAATTCGCATTATAGTCCAATCAGCATTATAAAATCGTTATTATATCATTATCAAGTTACATGATATTCTTGTGTACACCGTCTAATCTACAATGTATCAGCTCTAATCTTCATTATACGATCTACCCTGTATCAATATCGATCTACATGACACAATCTACATTATATCATGATCGAACTACATTACATCCGACTCTACATAATACTCTAATCTACAGAGCGTAAAAATCAATCTAAATTACATCCGAATCCGAATTGAAGCATCAACGTTGTAGCAACCCTAATCATCGTTACATCTTTACATGTGCGCGCTCCATATTCTACCGATCTCAATTTGCATACACAGACATACACAGCAATCTACATTATATCGATATTAATCTACAAATACCTTAATCCGCATTATATCCTGATTGAATGTCGCGCCAACAGATAGCAACGCATTCGCAGAAATTGACAATGCAAGTGATGCTGCAACTTTGTACGAATACGAATGCTGATAACAATAATGTCGCTGTGTGTAATTCAATTGTGCAACGGACTAAGACGAGAATTGAACGCTGCTAGTCATCCTCGCCCAGGACGAGGAATAAATCGAGGAATAAATCAAGTGTACGCTGATATATTGGAAACTGATAATGCAGATTCAGCAACTTTGTGCGGACGACGACAATTTTGTTGCGGTGCTACGAATGAATTGGGATGCGCCGTAAGGCCAGAATCGAGTATCATAAATCGACGTTCTCCAGACAATGAATACACGAAGCACGCTGGTTTATTTTTGGAATTTTACAATGCTGCTGCTGCAACATTGTAGCGATAACGACAACGTTCAACATTATTTATACGATTCGATAAAATCTGACAGAATGATAAAATTATCTGTGCCCCGACTGACAGAACAATAAGTGAACAGAACTAAAAAATTTAATTTGAATTTGGAAATTAACGATGTAGATGTTGCTACTTTGTGCTGACAGCAACAATGTTCTTTCTAGGTATTTTCCAATAAAATTTTGCAGTGACAAAATCATTGTTGTCCAGGCTGATAAAATAACGAGTAAATAAGGTACATTGAAATTTTTGGAATTAACAATGTAGAAGTTGCAAATTTGTGTCGGCAGCAACAATGTTTTTTCTAGGTATTTTTCAATAAAATTTTCCAGTAATAAAATCATTGTTACTCAGGCTGACAAAATAATGAGTAAATAAGGTGCACTGGAATTTTTGGAAATTAAAAATGTAAATGTTGCAAATTTGTGTCGGCAGCAACAATGTTCTTACTAGGTATTTTTCAATAAAATTTTGCTGTGACAAAATCATTGTTGTCCAGGCTGATAAAATAATGAGTAAATAAGGTACACTGAAAATTTTGAAAATTAGCAATGTAAGTGTTGCAACTTTGTGTCGGCAGCAACAATGTTCTTCCTAGGTATTCTTCAAAAAAATTTTCCAGTGATAAAATCATTGTTACTCAGGCTGACAAAATAATGAGTAAATAAGGTACACTGGAATTTTTGGAAATTAGCAATGTACTGTTGCAACTTTGTGTCGACGGCAACAATGTTGCCCCTACATATTATGGAATAAAATTTTGCAGTTACAAAATTATTGTTATCCAGGCTGATAAAATAATGAATAAATAAGGTACACTTGAATTTTTGTAAATTAGCAATGTAGATGTTGCAACTTTGTATCGACAGCAACAATATTCTTTCTAGATATTTTTCAATAAAATTTTGCAGTGACAAAATCATTGTTACCCACACTGATAAAATAATGAATAAACAGATACACTGGCATTTTTGGAAATTAATAATGTAGTTGTTTCAACTTTGTATCGACAGCAACAATGTTCCCTCTACATATTATTCAACCAAATCTCGCAGTGACAAAGTTATTTCTGCCCGAACTTATGCAACGATAACTGCACGAAGTGCACTGGAATTTTGAAAATTGACAAAGTAGATGTAGCAGCATTGTATCGACAGCAACAATGTTCCCCCTCCGTACGATTCAACAAAATCTCTCAGTGACAAAATAATTTCTGCCCGGACTGACACGAAAATAACCGCGCAAAGTGCACTGGAATTTCGTAACGTTGCATACGATATCTAACAGATGAAATTGAACGAAATAATTGCACGTAAGAATGTATCAACGTTGTACCACGGAAACCGATATCTGCGGAACGTGACATTCGACTAGGACCGAGCGTTGGATCCGGCGTGTTTGTATTCCTCGGTTCCTGCTCGGTTCGCCTTGAAGCGTGTCCTCGCGTAGCGGTGCTCGGCAAGCAGAATCTCCTGGACAGTGACGGACTTACCTCGCCGACACGGAGCGCCACCAGGGCCAGGCACAGTACCGACACAAGCGCACTGGCGTACGCGTGAATATCGCTGGTTCCCACTGTCATTTTCGGCGGCGTATCGCGCGAACACTGTGCGACCGTCTGCGGCGGCTGTCACGTTCTCTTGGCCACGATGCTCTCTCTCGCTCTCTCTCTCTCTCTCTCTCTCTCTCTCTCTCTCTCTCTGTCCGCCCGCGGTCTCACGTCACATTTTCGTGATTGAACGAGAACGGTCGCATCGTATATACGCGCGTGTCGCGGTGTACGGTGTGCGGGAGCGCGGCAGGCGTTTTCCCGTGGCGGCCACGCGGCTTCTTTCCTTGACAAGCCGTCGGACACGCGAAGGCCGTGGTCCCGGTGTCTCGCGATCTACGGTCCGGCCCGCTGTCCCGCGAAAACTCGATCGTTCGTCGTGGAGAACTGGAGGCGAGTGTTATACTGCCGCAATAATGACTGTTCCTCCTGAACTGCCCCCAGGGACGCTCAGGTGTTCAGCATTTTGGTGGGGATAGATCGTGGCTGCGGCGGCCATTCCCTTTTCCACCGATGTATATCGATCCACACGCATTCAAGTCTCCGCCAACAGCGATCCACCGCGCCGCTACGCCGGCCCGCCGTGCGAGGCCAGCACTGTGCAACATACCGCGTGATAACGTAGGCGGCTGACGTATCGACCGGTTCGACGGCACGCGAAACCTTCGCGAATCTTCGCACCGATACGCCGGTGCGATGGAAGCGTAAGCTCTTGGGGGCCGAAATGGTTTGAGCTTTATTCGTCGATTTAACGTTACGATATGCCGCGTCGAAAATGTGTTGACATTCGTTTGATTCGATCATGCTTTCGTAGAAAATAGTTCGTCGCAAGATTTTAAGTTGAGATACGTGAAATGTTATGCACCGATAATGCACCTTGTTAGAATTTCGATGGAATCGTTTTGTGGAAAACATCGTCGGATCATTGAAAATGTCTGAAAAATTGTTGGAAGTTTCGAAAATAATTAACTTGCCCGTTTGTTGAAAGATTACGAATTTGTTGTTCGTAATTGTTTAAGCTTTTCTATGGAACCGGTCACGTGTTTATGAGGTTTAATAATTTATTTAAAATCGTTCGCCGATGTTTAGATTGCCATGTTTCTTGCAAAATATTAATTCAATGCTGTTAGGGTGGCTAATATTGTGGATTACGAGAGATGGATATCGATTGAAGAGTAGGAAACTATATTTTCAAAATGTTGAACTTTGAGAATTGAATCTCAGACATAATAAACGCGTATCCATTGCAACGGGACAGTGGAATGAAAGCACTTAAAACTGGACAAAAAGCTATAACTCAGTTTCACCTGTGTATTATATTCAATTATTCAATTATTCAATTATTCAATTATTCAATTATTCAATTATTCAATTATTCAGTTATTCAGTTATTCAGTTATTCAGTTATTCAGTTATTCAATCATTCAATTATTCAATCATTCAATCATTCAATCATTCAATCTTTCAATCATTCAATCATTCAATCATTCAATCATTCAATCTTTCAATCATTCAATCATTCAATTCTTCAATTCTTCAATTCTTCAATTCTTCAATTCTTCAATTCTGCAAGTCTGCAATTCTGCAATTCTTCAATTCTTCAATTCTTCAATTCTTCAATTCTTCAATTCTTCAATGCTTCAATCCCCCAATTCTTCAATTCTTCAATTCTTCAATTCTTCAATTATTCAATTATTCAATTTTTCAATTTTTCAATTCTTCAATTCTTCAATTCTTCAATTCTTCAATTACATCCTCCACGACCTATCGATTTCAATAGTACTACAAGACCGAGTAGCCAGTTCATTCGTTCACATGTCCACCCTATTTTCCAGCTAATAATTCGGCAACGATCGATTTTTGACCGCTGCGAAGTCATCTTTTTCCACTACGCACCCTCGTAATGGTTTAAAGCCGCGGATCACTGGACGATGACCCTAATTCGCCTGGATCCACGGTTTTCTAGAAACGCTTCGTGAAAATACACCAACGCGGTTTTCGCTATCGATTGAACCTAGTATAGGAGTTAACGACGGTGGGGCTCAGGGTCTCCGGGTTTCTGAGGATCGTTCTGCGTAGGAGGGTGCACGTATCGACTCACAAGACGGCTCATCCGCTTTAAGGATTAAAGCTTCGGAAGTTCGTAACGATTACGCTGCCTGGAATTATGTCAATTAGACCGCGGCTGGTACTGGTTATGGTTCTGGGAAGTTGCTGCTTCAAACACTGTTGCAAAAACGTTATTCGTTAAACTTATTGAGCAACCAGGGTGCTGTGAATAGCATCGGAAAGTTTGCGGGAAAAGTTGGTCGACCGAGCAACAAAAACGAATGAAAACTTTTAAGCTGCCGTTTTATCATTTTCGGCTTGTTATATTTTTAGAGTGATTTAGGTAGCTGTAATTGTGTAACAAAAGTTTTGCATTAAATTTTCTTTTGTTGAGAGGAAGATATGATTTGTTTCTTGGAAACATTGTAAATATTGTAAACGTTGTAAATATTGTAAACGTTGTAAATGTTGTAAATGTTGTAAATATTGTAAACGTTGTAAACGTTGTAAATGTTGTAAACGTTGTAAACGTTGTAAACGTTGTAAACGTTGTAAATATTGTAAATGTTGTAAATGTTGTAAATATTGTAAACGTTGTAAATATTGTAAATATTGCAAACGTCGTAAACATTGTAAATATTGCAAACGTCGTAAACATTATAAACGTTGTAAATATTGTAAACATTGTAAAAATATTGCATACGTTATAAACATTGTTCCTACTTGCTAACGCAGACAATTATTTTTTACATAAAAATCCGGCTATTGAAGAAGCATTTTGTCATTTAAATGATTTAACTCCCATACATAAATTATTTACGCATATTAAAATAACGAGTCTCAGATCACTATAAAATATCAATATTTAATTGCTACAATATTCTTTTCGTTTCAATCTGCCCGTAAACCATCAAAGCTCGTCGCAGCACGGACAGTTCAATTATAACCGACGTATCTGCAATTTCCGCGCGGCAACGTCGCGCTGTAACAGCGGCAACGTCGCATACATTTGCCCGAAGTTGGTTTTACGAGCGACGATTTTTCCGTTTCCGCGGACTGCACGGTGGAAACGCGATTATTAGGATGTGTCGCACGTGTCCCAGCACGTTAACAACTGTTGCGAGATTGCGATAGACAAACGATTCAATGGTTATTGATTGAACGAAGATTGCGGCGGCCGCGTCGATGGCCGCGGTGCTCGCTGCGCGGTATTGTCGCCGGGGCCTCTTAACTTGCCACAATGCGAACAATGCCGTTCCGTTCGAGACAACGGGCTCTGCGGCTTATAGGATCATTCACGGATGACGTGCGGCCCATTCAAGATCATGATACATCGATAGATCCTTTCCGCAGGAGTTATTGAAACACCGGATGTGTGCTGGTGCTTACGCGACATCCGCGTAATGGCGGATCGCGTTCTTTCGCGGATTCGAGATCGCTGGAACTGCATTATTTCGCGAGGCTGTTGAATCAATGGGAAACGATTTGTCCAATACCTTCTCGCTTATTTTTCTGTTATTGCGTTATTGTCGATTATTATTGAATTATTATTGAATTCAACTTGAATTATTATTGAATCCAACTTGAATTATTATTGAATTCGACTTGAATTATTATTGAATTCAACTTGGACTATTATTGAATTCTTCTTGATTATTATTGAATTATTCTTGATTATCATTGAATTATTGTTGCTTACGACTGTTGAACTATTGTTGATTATTGTGGAATTATTATTGATTGTCATTGAATTATTCTTGAATTATTCTTGAACTAATCTTGACTTACCACTAATTATTATTGAATTATTATTGAATAACTCTTGAACAA